TTCTGGAACCCCCTTGGGCAGGATCCCTGGATGGATCCCTGGATGGATCCCCACCTGTTTTGGGACCCCCCTGGGATGGGATTCCTGGATGGATTCCTGGATGGGACTCCAGCTGTTCTGGAACCCCCTTGGGCAGGATCCCTGGCAGGATCCCTGGATGGATCCCCACCTGTTTTGGGACCCCCCTGGGATGGGATTCCTGGATGGATTCCTGGATGGGACTCCAGCTGTTCTGGAACCCCCTTGGGCAGGATCCCTGGATGGATCCCTGGATGGGATCCCACCTGTTCTGGGACCCCCCTTGGGTGGGATCCCACAGCTCTCGGTGCCCCCCCATCCCTCGATCCCAGGGAATCCCCCTGAGGGAGATCCCGGCGCCGGTCGGTTCCTCGATCCCACAGTTCCCACCCAACCCTCTCCGTCCCTCCCGCAGCTCTCGGGCCGGAAGAGGAAACTCTCCTCGGACGATTCGTGCAGCGAGGAGCCCGACAGCACCACCCCCCCCTCCAAGACCCCCAAGGGGGAGCGCAAGGGGCCCCTGAGGTGCCGCAAGTGCGGGTACTTGGCCAGCAGCGCCTCCGACTTCCAGGAGCACATCCCGCAGCACCGGACTGACGGCAGCTCCCACCAGTGCCGGGAGTGCGGGCTCTGCTTCACCTCCCAGGTGTCCCTCAACCGCCACCGCTTCATCACCCACAAGAAGAAGAAGGGCCCGGGGGACGGGGAGGATCCCGCCCAGGGGCCGCGGAGCCCCCGGGAAGGGGGATCCCAGGGCGCGGGGAGCGACGGGAAGTTGGTGTGCAAAGTGTGCGGGAGGGGCTTCGACAGCCAACTCAACCTCAAGACCCACTTCAGGACCCACGGCATGGCCTTCATCAGGGCCAGGCAGAACAACAGCCCCGAGAACTGAGGGGCAGCCTCTGGAATCCCCTCTGGAATTCCCCCTCGGGACCCTTCGCAACGACAGCCCCGAGAACTGAGCGGGGAGCACGGCCCGGCCTCTGGAATCCCCTCTGGAATTCCCTCTGGAATTCCTCCTCAGGACCCATGGAGTGGAACAACAGCCCAACAGCCCCGAGAACTGAGGGGGGAACCCAGCCCGGCCTCTGGAATTCCCTCTGGAATCCCCTCTGGAATTCCCGCTCGGGACCCTGCGGAAGGACAGCCCCGAGAACTGAGGGAGAGCCCGGCCCGGCCTCTGGAATTCCCTCTGGAATTCTCTCCAGAATTCCCCCTTGGGACCCACGGCACGGAACAACAGCCCAACAGCCCCGAGAACTGAGGGGGGAGCCCAGCCCGGCCTCTGGAATTCCCTCTGGAATTCCCCCTTGGGACCCATGGAGTGGAACAACAGCCCAACAGCCCCGAGAACTGAGGGAGCCC